CTTAAGAGCGTCAAGACCAACCGGCCAGCCCTGTGCAACACCAAAGCCAAAAGACACCTGGGAAAAGTTGTATTTAAACCAAAACTCTTTAATAATTTGAATTATAAAGACACAAATTAGTGCTTGACTGCAGCATGGATAACAAATGAAATACATTAAATATTTCAACGCTACCGCGCTTTGCAAAACAAGTTATGCTGATATGTGTAAGCCTAACGTTAGTTACCGGCTGGTTTGGTACGAAGAATCAGTTCAGTGTATCAAAATTGGCAATAAACATTGCTCGATGCAGCTGTGTTTTACAGGCCAACTGCTATTCGTCTGTCACAGTGTAGTTATCCGTCTGCAACAATATACCGAGTATCAGGAAAAAAAAAAAAAAACAACCCATGATGTTAGAACTAATAGTGTAAACGTTAGAAAGTTTGGTCACGTAATGCGCAGGGTATTTCACGTCCATTGCAGGTGGACAGAATGTTATTTGCTAAGACAGTAAACATCATCAGTGCATTAAGCCGAGCTCAACAGCCAACGTCAAATAGTCAGCATCAGTTTGGAAGATCAAGAGAAAAAAAATCAGTTCCTGTTCAGTCTCATGAGTAACTACTGTTCGCGTCGCTTGCAACCCTCTCTTCCAAAATCCCGGGAGCGATAGCATACGCAACCAAAATTCTCCTGCAGCGACTGACCAAGGCTTTAATTTAGAAAACACTTTGGTACGTGATTTGCTATGAGCATGTGTGAAAGCCAATCTCCATTCGACATTGGCTTTGGAGGAACTACATACGTTCCATGGTTTTGAGGAAAGAAGAATCTGGGATTGTGCTTACAGCTATTCGTGTGTTTTGGTGACGAAGGGCAAATAATCAAAAGACCCTTTCCCGTCGCATTTGTAAAATCTCAACGATCTGCTCTGACCGTCAGGCAGATTCAACTTGTGTGAAATGTGTGCAAAACCAAAAAAAAATTGGCAGGCACTGGTTTAGGGTCTTGCATCAGCTGGATTCTGAGCTTGGTTCTTCTTAAGTCTGCCATTATGTGCTTAATCAAATCTAAACACTTTCAGAAAGTTAAAAAGGAGAGTTTTGAAGTAAAGTAAGAGGTTCAGGCATCAACCCTGCCCCCCAAAATTGTACAGGTGAAGCCCCATATCCCCAGTCTTGTTTGGAGTATCTGGCTGGGAGCTCCAGTAACGGGGCTCTGCATAAAGTGCTTGCTTGGCTGCTGCACCCTGGTGCTGCCGGCCACTGAACTGCTCAGGCTAAAATAAACACCCGTGGTGGGGCTAAACCCCCCAAACCAGCTTTCAAAAATCTGAAGAGATGCAACGGCATCAGGGACGTGGGGTAGTCAGGCTCAAGTCTGAGCCAAGCAGAGGCAGCCACGTACTGGGTAACTACGTTTCGGGAAAGCGACTGAAAAGAGGGCTGCGACTCCCACGGGAGGAGGATTTTTTAACAAAAACCAAACTGAACTCCCACCTACCAAGGACCTTACCTTATGGACCCCAGGAGAAAACCCAGCCTCAGCTCTCAGAAAAGACTTGTGATAAAATGATCAGGCACTTGGCAGCCGGAGGCAGTCACGAGCAAGAATCCGAACAAAAGAAACCCAAACCCAATCCTAATAATTATACAGTATGTTCTCTGTAGTTATGTTACGGACTCTCAAACAAAGCTGGCAGAGGACATTCCAGATGGAGAAGAAATGTATTCATTCACGTACGGAACAATCCGTGTCACGTTCCATCCTCACAAAAAAAAAAAAACCAGCTGAATAATCTACAACCACCCGAATGTAACAGAGTCTGCGTCACTTCTATGGCAAAGAGTGAAGAGTCAGCACGGGAAGTTAAAATGTATAAATAGCAAAACATTCAAGCTTGTTACACAAGTATCTAAAGTGCAGTTATCAGGAGGGTGGTTGACATAGTACTATGGGATTCTGTGCTTAATCTTTTTTTATTCTCTTTCTATGTAAAATTTCTTAATCTCCTTCTGGCTTTCGCTTCGTATGGGCAATAAAGACTCCAATATTTATCCCTCTTCATATTAAAGTCTCACAGTTAAAACAGTACTTGGCAGTTAAAGCCTCCCACCGCCTTCTTATAAAGTGCAGATGGGGTTTCTTTAAAGTAAAGAGTTTTACCTGAATAGCTTAATTTAAATTACGGGGCACAGGTTCTGCCAAAATTAAGGTGTGTTCCTGGAGTCTGAGGTCTACTGAAGGAAACAGCTTCGTTAGAGCTCGTCTTCCACTGAGAAGTGTTCTATTGAATCATTTCACCACCTGCTACCGAATGCCAAAAATATATCCACAGGGAGAAACCGGTTTAAAAAAACCAAAACGGCATTACCGAAATTCTCGAATGCAGACTCAACAAGGTGGTAGTGACTGTGAGAAACACTTGAGATACCGGGAGGATTTTCTGTTGCTGAGGGTTTCACAGGGAGGAGTGAGCTGAAAAACTCATTCAGCTGCTCAAAACCAGGTGTTGGAAGCAAACGTGCTACAGCCAAAAGAAATCAACCGCATTCCAAATCATACAATTTCCTTTCAGCCAAAGAAGACAGCACAATATCAGATTAAAAGAGAATTAAAGCTAATTATAAAGCGGTATTTTCCATCACATCTCTTCCAAAATCACGTAAAACGAGTTATACTCTTTGCATCTTCACTTTATGTGTAACTTAACTGCCAAAAAGGTTTCACTTCACCTGTCTCAATCACAGTCCTCCGACTCAGATCTCTTTCTAAAGCAGCCAGCCTTCTGCACGCAGATGACCGGCAGACTGAGCGCCACCCAGAAGCGCCAGACACCGAGCACGTCAGGGTGTTTACGGCGAGCGAACTGAGTCAGCCGCGGATCAATACAACACTGCTGCCGACCTCAGGGGCCGTGCGGTCGAAGTCAGGCGGCTCTAACGTCTGCACGGTCAGGCAGATACAATAATTAAGGGCACAGGTATGGTACAATACATGACAGAGGTAGATCGGCAAGCGACAGACTGCGTATTCCAATTCTGACTATGGGGCGGTCTTCTGAACACTTGTGGGTAACACATCTTCCTTGGGCTAAAAGAAAAAGCATTAAAATGAAGTCCGGCGATGACTAATATTGCTAAGCTAACAACGCTGCCTTCAAAACATGGATGGGATTCATCCTGATGGCAGATTTCTGTTTATTGTGTCTTATCTTCAGCTCGGGGTAACGCACGTCTTGAGCTGAATCCAGAAAATCGCGATTCCTGGCATGCAGTGTGGTATTGATCTGTACTGGGAGTGTAATTTTGAGGTTTTTCTTTTATTTCCAAGGAAGAATTTGTCAGCTCACGGTCTGCAGAACTACTTGCTGCTGATCTGTGCCGAGCTGATGGTCGTAAGGTGGCAGATTTCCTGGTTCTTCATGGATGTTAAAGAATAAAGAGTTCATTGCTATCAAGGCCGTCCAACACATCCTGTAGGATTCATGTTAAACAACACCTGCTACTTCCCTAATTCCCTTTAAAGTAGCTGCTGTCTGAACCCTATTTAAAAAACAGGATCACAGATGACCCACCTTATACGATGTAGTGCAAGAAAAGTTTGGGATATGCCGTCCTAAGGTTTGTAGAAAAAAAAATATCAGCGTGTCACACAAGTGATACAAATAAAAAGCAATTTAACAGACATTCAGTACATTACAGGAGTAAGATGTATGTCTTTCCAGGCACTAGAAAAGGCAGTCTGAATTTCAGTGGCCTGCAGTTAAAACTGGCTTGCCACTTTCAGTATCACTTGCAAGATCAGTAAGGCAGTGAAACCAAAGCACCCATAATTTTAGATTATTTATGCTGAGAAGGAAATACAGGTAAAATTACATTCTTCAGGGTCTTAACATAACCTGAAACAAAGGCTGCTGGAAGGGTGGTAAAGGTGTGCATGGTTTTGGTCGTTTGGAATGAAGGAAGAAGCCAATCTACATAATTTTTTTAAAGATGAAAACCATCAGTGACAAATGATATATGAACGAAAAGTTAACAGCAGCATAAAATTAAAACAAGAGCTTTTCCAACTTTTTTTTTTTTTTTAAATCCTGGCAATTTAATTCCACAAGATCTGAAAAGAAACATATACTTCCTAGTTGCAAATAGGTGGGACAATTGACAAATTTCTTTAAAATTTGCCATTGTATAGATGCCTTATCCATCAGAAAGTGGCTTTTCAGCACACTCTGGTTCCTGCAATTACAGGGAAGCCAAACAGAGCTCCCAGATCCTTCAGTAAAAAAAAAAAAAAACCCTAAGGCCACTAAAACAAAGGTTTTGTTCGTTTTCTTAAAAATAATACCATACCTAGCAGATGTCCCAAGCGACTGTTGATAGGTCTGGATGCTGCACTGCTCCTGTTATGGGACTCTTCCCTTAACTTAGGAAAACATGTAAACATACTAAGGAGAAAATTGGATACAGTGTACAGAAGCGTGCTTGAGCGAGCCTGGAGGTGAAGAGGCAGGCACTTATTTTTTAAGCTACATTTTTAAGACAGTTCTCAAATCTCTTTACAAAAACTACACCTTCTGGATAATTAAAGACACTTGATCCAAGGCAGCATGTTCCTACCTCTACGCTAGTTATTCCAATGTCTTTCAGTCCAAAGATCACTCAAAATTTCCCAACACAGAGGCTGACCTTGCCTGTGGAGCTGGAGCCTACTGACAACAAATCTGTTTTAAGATTTTCATTCGAGGATCTTTATAGGGGTTTGCTGAGGACAGGTTGAAATGCACTGCCATCAGCACGTGCTTAAACCTCACCGACATCACTCAAGGTTAATTATCTTTCTCTAGCCCTGAGTTTGGGTCTATTTGATCCCAAGAGTCCAGGGTCAGTCACATAACAAAAGCCATGATTTTATTTGGAGATTCACATCAGTAGCAGTGCTACTGATGGACACAGAGAATGCAGCTAAGCTGCAAACAGGAAAAAAAGAAAAAAAGATATTAAAGGGAGGAGCTCATTTTAGTCAATGCTGATTGTACAATACAGCTTTCAGTCCAACTTTTTCAGCAGTCGGAGCAAGGAAGCTTACACTAGGCAGGACTTTGTGATCTGGGAGACAACTTTATAGCTATGTTATGGTGCCTTGCTGCTGTGGGCACATTTTAAATCAATACAGAATGGGCTTTCCAATCAGTCTGAGCATTTCCCTTTTCTCCTTCATGGCGAGAAGGACAAATCCCTCAGAGCATCAAAAGCAGACAAAAATTGCATAGCACGGCAGCCAGGAGGCCCAGAGACAGACTCCATTAGCTGCCCCAAGATCTGAAGAGTCAAAACCACAGCCTCCAATATGAGGTATATTTCGAAAAACTGTGTTAGTTCAATGTTTTCTTTATGCTTACTTATTAACTTTCATCGGTTGGGCAGGTAAAAATTGCAGAAACCAGAGTTTGTCCCCCCTATTAATCCCCAAAGTTTGGTTTTAAAAAGGTGGCCAATTTTCCACAGAGTAACCGTGTGATGGACAGATTAAGAGCAAGCAATCAAAGTGCTGCCAATTATATTTTGGGGTGTCCTCAACACCAATCTTGTTCTTTACTCTTTCTTCAGTATTTCTGAATAAGCAGATGCTTCTGAAAGTCAGACCAAAATTTAAGACTTGTAAAATACGGGAAAGAGATGAATTCAAAGCTGGACTAGCACACATCTAAGGTGTCTGTCAATCTGTAGTATGAATAGGACACGGGGAGTAAAAGTAGGGATAGAAAAGGAAGGCATGTAAATAATAATTATAAAAAAATTGAAAAAAAGTGTTTCTTGTGTTTATACAGTCACCCTGGAGCCTCCTGATGGATCACTGCTCAAACTAATTAGGAATTCAGTTTCCACAGGCAAACAAGAACCCCTATAATGCTTCACCATCTTAAGTGTCTTCTGCCGGTCACACCCTGGAACATCCTCCATGATGTACCTCAGTCGGACTAGAGAGAAAACGGAAGCTTTGTACAAAATGAACTAAATGGCACAGGTATCCCAACCGTTTTGCTTAAAATATAAATTGCAAAGGAGGCTGTGGAAAAGCAAGATAGAATAAAGCCCTAAATCAATCATTACATACTTCATTAATTGTAAAAAAAGTGCAAGATTAAAATAGTTCAGGTTAAGCATTCAGTTCACTATAGGCCACACAAATGCTTAGCTTGGCCATCAACGGCCCATGTTTGTCATTCAGTTACTAATATTAGTTTGAACCACAGAAAGAACAACAACCGAATGAAAAACGTATGCAATCCACTTCAAAAAAATGGTTAGTTTTCTGTGACCAGCACGAAATATTAGCTCAGTATCATCAGCTATACAATATATACATAAAAATATTGTGTCTTAATCTTTGTTTTAACAACTTAGAATAAAGCTGTACTAAACATTATTTCCCTAGTGTGCCAACTCTTCGCTCTGTTCTGGCCGGCTGGCCTAGTAACACAGAGAAGTCCTTTTATAGCAATGGTACTTGGATTGATCCATAATTTTGACACTTCAGCCATAGTAACTGTTGAATCGCTTTATTCAGCCAGGCTAGGTGACCGCACGTGACTGCCTAGGTCTCAGTCAAAGCTTCTTGGGCGGCTCCACAAGAAGAACAGGCCATATTCCAAAAACAAACTGTTAAAAGAAAAACAGGAAGAGGGGAAAGATTTCTTGGAATATTACGTCTCTTGGAACAGAAACCAAACACTGTTAACCATCATTTCAACCGCATTTCTTGGGATGCAAGTAGAAATCAAAGATAGTACCCTAACAGACATTATCTGCGAGCCCCAATGCAAGTTCAAAGCACAAGATATCCACAACCTGCAGTGCATTAATGCACAGAAAATATCGCTTGCTTACCTTCACCTTCGGCCTGTGTTTCAGGAAAAGTGTCCTTGTGTATAAACTGAGGAAAAGGAGAAAAGCGCGCTTCAAATATCACACATAAGACAGCGTATAAAATAATAACGATGTACTAATTCCAGTTTTATTTTCCAACTAGAAAGGAACTGCTTCTGCGATTGCAGCGCTACCCATTCTACCTAGACTTCCGCAAAACAGGAGACGTTAGCCTGCAGGAAATCCCTCTGTGCTAGACTATGATGAGCAAACTAATTGACCCTATCACCTATGTGGGGAGAAAGAGAGAAACCCAGAGAAGTAAATCCTCTCTCCACTATAGAAAAGACTAACCAGGGACTAGAGCCTGTCTGTCATTTTGGAAGGATGAAATTAAATCAGCGTACCACAAAATATAGCAGCTGTTAAGGGCGGGGGATAGGGGGGAAGCAGTATAGCTTGATTCCGTATCTCATTTTTCTTCTTATACAGCCTCTCCCCTCAGTAGGTCTTTTACCTGTGTACGACCTCACTTTTTAAGTGGACATAGGTGATGCCACTGTGTGGCTGAGAAAGTACTAGAGAAAACACTGCAGGGAAAGGATGTAGTTCATTGGGGTAGGGCAGACAAATCGGGCATCTGCACATTCCCTGAGGGCTAGAGGATGCAAACACAAATTCTCTTCTTTGTGCAGCGTGCTGGAAAAACCTTGCCTATGCTATCCAAACTCTCTGCATCAGCTTGCCTTCTGTAAGGAATTTTCTTCACAAGATTATCTCAAGCTGTTTAGGGCAGTGGACAACCCGGCAGCCAAAATGGAGGAGCTGAATTCCACATACCATGATGTATTTTATATATACACATATATATCCAGGTTTGTACAGATACACATCCATATATACATGTATATATATATGCACAAAAAAGCTATCAGAATAGCTGCTGGACATGTACTTATTGTCCTTGCAATTTCCTTTTACTAGCTATTTTAAACATCTGAGAAAAAAGGAGAATACTATGCCACATGTAGAAAAACTGATATGTAAACCAGTTTCTCAACTACATAGAATGTATCTGTTAAACAGACATTCTCTTATGGTTAAGCAGTAAAATATTATTCCATTACCTAATGAAGAAAGTACAGAAATTCTTCGGATTCCAGCTTAAATTCGATTTTTGTTCCTGGTTCCACTAGATGGTGGTATAGAGCAAAACCAGAGACAAAAATCTTCTGGCTGCAGACCTGCTAACTTAGGCGCTCCTTTAAATCAGGATTTAATCTCCTTCTAAAAACTAATATCCTGTGCTTCTGGGAACAACTCTGCTCCAACCACTTCAGCCATCACCCTTCTGCTCTATAGCACGATGCCTGCTAGTTTTCAGGAGCAACAGTGCCTATCAAAAAGATTAGTTATGCTTCTAAAATTAAACGTGGTTAAGTACTTCAGAATTGCTGCTCAAGACCAGAAAGGTATTAATAGCTTATATTTTGAAATTAATATACTGTCAAATAGTCCTGCAGTTTAACTGCTACAGGGTTCCCACTTCTGAATTGCATTTTCCTGAAGAACCATGATTACTTAAAGATTAATGATTACATTTCGAAGACTACAAATTACTTCCACGGAGTTTTTAGACCGGTTGCAAAGAGGAAAGAAAAAATCCCACCAGTTTAGTGAGAAGTCATTTTCTTGCTCTTCTGGCCAACAGAATGTTTTGAAGTAAATCTGAACCTGGGAAAACTCCTAAGACTGCTTTATGAACATCCAGTTTTGAAAACATTTCCTACCTTAGCAGGATATGAAGGTAAGAGCCCAAGCCTGTGAGAATATGCCACCACGCATGAAACTGTGTCACAGCTCCCACAACAGGAGGCATCTTCTCTCGTAGTGCTCTGTAAGAAAGAAACACCGTGCAAGGGTGGGTTTTTTTTTTCAAGCTAAGCAATCTCAAATCGCAGTGCTTGATGGCTCTCTTAAGCCTTTAAAGAGAGCGCATGCATCTTCATATGACGGGCGATCAGTTACTTCTGGACTCAATTATCAGGTCATGTATTTATGGTATCCCACAGTCCCAAATGAGTTCTACTATCCTCCTCCCCAAAACTCGGTGAACTACTGTCCGGAGAATGAAATGCTAAGGGTCTGAGAGGGGAAATGGGATCCATCAGGTATCACCGCTTTACATTTGGCAATCACACCACCTACTCTCCAGATGCACGGAAACTTAACTTGCCTTTCTCCGTCGTACTCTAAAACAGGAACAAAATGGGTATTTAGTGAGGAAGCAATGGAAGCGGAGAGTCTGAAACACTCCACCAAGATGCTTGGTATTTTGCACAGTTATGGGGTGTGAGGTACTTGGGAAGAGGCTAAGGGATGGAGATAGAGAAAGAAAGGGCTGGAACTACATTGCCCTGATTTCTCCTGCTCGCTAGGCTTTTGCAGACAATGCCTACTTTGGTTGATGGCGGAGCAAATGTTTGCATCTGCCTGTCTTCTGGTTTTGACTTTCATTGCACATTCAGTCAAACCAAAAAAGGAAAAAACAATGATCGCAGATGTTAACGAAGAAAAATCAGCAGCTTCTGGAATACTTATTTACTGCTTGATGTTAGTGTTCAGTCCCCCTAACTGAACGCTAACCCCTGAGATACTGCTTAGTTTCCAGAGCTGCTCAGTCACAAATACGAACACAGAGCTTTGATTCAGTCAGCCAGGGAATGACATAGTGGAACACAGAGACCGTCACCCCAGCACAGCCCCTGAGCCTTTGGATGGCAGGAAATCTCAAAGCTCCAGTTCAAAAGTGCATGGATCCAACCAGGGAAGTGATACAGATTTTTTGGTTTGTTTTTAAATAAGCTGCAAATTTAATGAAATATGGAAAACAAAAAAACTGAACCAAAATACCATTTTGAACATTAAAACCAAAAAGAGCAGGTAGCTGGATGATTCACAAGTTAGATCTTTAGGGAATAAAATATTACAAGGAACTGGATTATATTTTCTCCAAAGGTTGGAGCTGTAATACCACCTGGAGAAATTCAAGGCTCTGCAGACATCTGATTAAAACTCATAAACAAGTGTGTTTGGTTTTTTTTTTTCCAGCACCATAACCAAACAAGTGTTAAAAGAAATATGCTAACTTTTTTCTCCCTTTGCAAAATGAAGATGGAAAAAAGTGCTTCAGCAGCTGGTGCAATCTTTGAGTCCAGGAACAAGTTGAAAAGCCCCACGGACCTGCAGCAGCTCAGCAGGCTCAGTGAATTGGGGGTTATGATCTCACCAGCGATGCGATGCAGCTGCAAAAATCAACCTTGATGCCAATACTTGCGAAATCACTGTATACCCACGCACTTGTGTTGGCAAATAACTTCTATGCCATCTGTAGCAAGAGTTCGTAGGGATGAAGTGCTGTGTATTATATTCACTTCACCTGAATTTTTTAAAAAAGTTCCAAGAAAAGTCTGTTGAAGCTAACTTTAAATTGGCCCAACCTAACGCAAGGACTACGGAGCCAAAAGGGACAGATGGAAAACACCTGACTGTTTTACAGCACACGATGATCCAACCCTGACAAAGGAGCCTAGTAGGACAATTCTGTACACCGCAGATTCAGCAGCGTAACAGTGTATCAGACAATCAAGAATGGATTTTCTGGATGCTGGCATCAACTCTTCCATTTCCTCCAGCTTGTTGAGGACCACAAGCATCACAACTAAGCAAAAGAAAGGTGCAGTTGTCCAGTTCCAGAGGAACATGCATTAAGAGAACAACCTTTTGGACTGGTGTTCTTTCTTGCATGGACAGGATACCTAGCCGTACGACGAGACAGAATCATAATCATTTAGTTGGAAAAGACCTTTAAGATCATCAAGTCCAACCATACCTGTCCACCATTAAACCGTGTCCCTAAGCACCTCGTCTGCCCGGCTGTTAAATCCTCCCAGGGATGGGGACTCAACCCCTTCCCTGGGCAGCCCCTTCCAGTGCCTGACAGCCCCAAGGGGAAGGAATTGTTCCCCATGGCCAACCTCACCCTGCCCTGGCACAACTTGAGGCCGCTGCCCCTCGTCCCATCGCCCCTTCCCTGGGAAGCTCCGCTGCCCTTCTCTGGACACGCTCCAGACCCTCCAGGTCCTTCGGGGAGGGAGGGGCCCAACCCTGACCCCAGCATTTGAGGGGCGGCCTCCCCAGTGCCCAGCACGGGGGCACGGTCCCTGCCCTGCTCCTGCTGGCCACACCACTCCTGATACAAGCCAGGATGCTGTTGGCCCTCTTGGCCACCTGGGCACCCTGCTGGCTCATATTCAGCCCCCTCTCGACCAATGCCCCAGCATCTTTTCTTCCAGGCAGCTTTCCAGCCCCTCTGCCCCACGCCTGTAGCGTTGCCTGGGGTTGTTGTGACCCAAGTGCAGGACCTGGCACTTGGCCTTGTTGAACCTCACCCAATTGGCCTCGGCCCATGGATCCAGCCTGTCCAGGTCCCTCTGGATGGTGGGTTCCTAGGAGCTTTGTCTGGAAGTCTTTTTCACCCCATTTGGCAATACACTAAACAGAGTCTTTCCTGGCCTCCTCTACAAGTGCTAAGCCAGAAGACTTCAGGCTAATAATGACAGCCAAGCACGGTGTATTGGCTCACAGAGTTACTGTTCTTTCCGAGATGCTCAAGCAGCTGTTGTTTATTGGTGACAGATATATTGCAATAGGTATTTCTTTAACCTGCAGAACTACTACTTTTCAGATTTTCCTGGGAAATGGCAAGAGCAGAAACCAAAAAAACAAGCAGGACAAAAAAAAAATTCATTCAGATGAAATCAAGTGTGAATAACAAGCTTTAGTAAGCCATAGATGCTCAAAATTACTTCAGTGACATTACTTCCTCTCAATTTAAATTGAAGAGAAATATCAATTATTTAAAAAAAAAATCTATTCATGGATAAAAAGAAAACATTAAAAAAATATTGAGTGCTGAATCTAGTCATGAGCAAACTGGATAAAGCCCTTGTAAATGTTTTGTAGGCAGTGTACCATGCAAACCATGAGATGGACTTAAACATACACCACAGAAAAAACAAAGTTTTACACTAAAAGACTATTAGGAGCTATCTGGACAAAGTGAAAGAACTCACCTCAATTTATCACAGAAAATGTTGTCCACATTCCAGAGAAAAAATCCCATTAAAAATACAGTTAAAGAAGTATAGCCTAGACCTCTAAGCCATGGGTATACCCTAGAGAGGCAGAGAGAGAGAGAAATAATGCAAAGTTTAGTTCAAGATTCTTTAAAAGCAGCTTTTATGTAATATGCACAAATACTATTATATTCAAATAAACTGCTTTATTAATATTTCTTCCCCAAAGCAAACCCATTGACTTCAAATCTCATCTATTTAAGTATTGTATTTTACCTCCTCCCCTCTCTCCTGAATTCGCATTCTCCGAGACTGGTCTTTTAAATGTTTTACTTCTAGATTTCTAATTGTTCTCCTAAATACCGCTCTCTCCTAATGCAACAATTAAGTGGGAAAACTGAAGTTGACTAAAAGGTACTAATTCTTCAGTCCCATGTATAATCTTTCAGTTAAAAAATAGCCATGTTACAAATTAGGACTCTCCCAAAAGAAGAGGCTCTCTTCCAATACATGATATCGCTATCCTAGGGCAATTGTTTAAATAAGGTCTTTCAAAATGACTGTAGTCTTTTGTGAACGTAGACCACCACGACCAACAATTAACCAAATGAATGGTTTTAGAAAACAGTAATGTCATGTTGTATTTTCTTGTTGAGTGCTATTGGGGATGGAAAAATATCAATTTCATTTTGAGGGGAAAAAAAACCTCTTTAGGATAGGGAAATCACCCTGAAGAATCAGATGCAATAAAGTGCATCATTAATAAATTTACCCTCACTATCTGCATTCAGGCTGGACCACGGAATTGTAAACTTCCTACATGAAAGTTGGTTGCCTTTGCTCCTTTCCCACTCGTAAGACAAGTCCAAAAGCAACCCCAGTTCCAACCCTAAAAGGCTGCCATGAAATACCGTTCAAGTTATTTTTAAGGATTTTAAATGCACAGTTTAGATTCTAAAATGCATTCCTGAGCTGCTTTTTCTCCACTGTGTTATACGCCGCACATGTTTCAGAGCTGTGAGCACTGGCAACCAAAATGTGCAAAACACGACAGGTAGAGTTTCTGCTACAGGGCAAGCTGACCAGATACAATCTGCAGATATTCACAAGTGTACTGCCAAGATAAACTAGTAAAATTATTATTTGTTTAGTTTAATAAATGCACAGAGCACCATGTGGTGCATGGCAGAGACTGCACTGTAATATTCTCAACTCAGTGCTCGAAACATAAGCAAGCCCAGGACATGAAAGAGCATTAAATGGTATGTTATACATGCTGGTAATTAGGTAATTATAGCTAAAATTGTTCAGGGAATAAATGGTGTTGTTTTGTGAAGGAATGAGAGAAAGGCTGGTATCACTTACTAATGGGGAACGTGTTTTGTGAACAGAGAACAACATTTGCCAAGTTGTAATCTTGGGAAGGAAGCAGACCCAAGAAAGAGATGAAAAGCGTGGGGGAAACAGGCAGGAACAGCAATAAATAATGAGGATGGGAGGAGGTAGCAGCCTGGAAGGAGTAACATGCTGTTCTTTGAGATTTCTGCTCTAAGCTCAGAGCGATTTCGAGCCCTGCACTAAGAAATATGAGCAACAGGAAGCTAATATATATTAAGGAATTAAGAAACAAAATAAGCAGAAATCAGGATCAATATGTAAGCTGAAGCAGGCTTGGACAAGTGCCAGCACTATCAGTGGAAAGACAGGAATACGTTCTAGGAAGGCAGAGGAAGTAAATCCAAAAGCATACTTGGGGATGACTTTTAGAGAAAAGAAGGGGTATGTTCAGGTTGGCACAGCCCCTCTAGCAGAACTAATTTAAAATTAGCAGTAGTTTAGTTAAAATTCAGAAGTATTTTAAACCTAATTCTCTCTCCATCCCAACTTGCTAACCAGTTCGCATAACATAACCAAAAGGGGAAGCAAATCTTTGTAGGGCCACGTTGCAATGAAGTCATCTAGTTAATTAAGAAAATACACTTCAAACTCCTAAAACTGAAGCCAAAAAAAAAAATAGGTGAAACTTCAGAGACAGACTTTGTTGGAGGAAAACCATAGAATCATAGAATGTTTTGGGTTGGAAGGGACCCCTAGAGGTCATCCAGTCCAACCCCCCTGCAGGAGCAGGGACACCGCTAACTAGATCAGGTTGCTCAGAGCCCCATCCAACCTGGCCTTGAATGTTTCCAGGGATGAATCATAGAATGTTTTGGGTTGGAAGGGACCCCTAAAGGTCATCCAGTCCAACCCCCCTGCAGGGAGCAGGGACACTGCTAACTAGATCAGGCTGCCCAGAGCCCCATCCAACCTGGTCTTGAATGTTTCCAGGGATGGGGCCTGATGAATGACACCCCAGGAGGGAGGATGGTGGTGTTATTGATAGTGACAGAAGACAACAAAATGCTTCGGAAGTAATGAGAACGCACAAGTGTGTGGAATTTGCATGACTGGAAAGACAGCAGGCCCAAGGGTTTGTCTATACAGACAAAAAGAAATTTAATCTAAGTGACTAGAATTGAGCTAAATCCTTGTGTAAGAACAAAATTTAGATGACCTGAACTTGATTCAACTTAGTTTCCCTTGGAAGTGAATTAAGGTAGTATCACTTAAGATCTCTAGGTTAGGATTAAAATTTCCATGTTCGTGGGGTTGAAAAGTGCCTTAAACTGATGACTGGTTCTACAGCTGCAAGCAACGCGCTATCAGTTTTAAGTTCTTCTTGCTTAATAAAAGTCTGTGAACATTTACACTTGTCTGTAGGGATTTCTTGGGGAAAGTCAAACCAACTTAACCGAAATTGCAGTTGGAAGGTCATTCAGTGAATCTACTTCGAATTCACACCTTTTGTTAAATTCTTCCTCGTTCATCCTGAACAGATATGTATGTAACTCAAAAAAAACCCCAGTTTTAAAAAAAAGCACATTTAGAATGAAGACAGTGGAGAGAAATCAGTAATTTTCAGGGGCAATCCCCAAACACTCAAGAACACCAACAATTCACAGGGGAGGGGCAGGCAGGGGCAACCAAATGAGCCCTGAGAGCTAAAGGTGTTTACTCCAATACCGACTGAATTCCCTTTTCTTCACTTTTACCCACCACGTCCGCGCTCCGACGGTTCTAATGCTTCTCACTGTCTCCTAACATTTCTAACACGGTTTTGGTTTTTAATAAATAGTTTTTATTTCAATTTCTGTAACTTTACCCAGTCAAAACCGTAAGGAGAAAACTATCATTTAACCTTCTGTGTTATAATCTTTTACATTTGAATTTTAGATACTTGAGTAGGGAAGAGGAAAGGAAAACATTAAGCAATGGTTCAGCTCTGCAGTCTTACTCTCACCTCTCTCCAAGAATCATCATTAAATTTTGGACACTGGCAATAGATGTCTCATGTTACCCCACAATATGAAGACAGAAACTCTGTTCCCCTTGAAGCCCCAGGCTAACAGCTGGAGCCACCAGCAGAACACCTGGCAGTGAACACCACTTGTACGTGTAGAGGTCTCAGTTTTGTTTAATGTTATCCCAATGGCTTCAATAAAACGCAAGGAGACGAGCCGTTCCCTTTCAACCAAGCAGAGCACATGAGCTCGCATTACGTATTTAGCTAAAGAAATTTTGCCATTGCCAATTCCTCATGTTAAGCCCGCCAAAAAGAGATGCAAATGCTAAGTTATATCTTATAATGCTGAACTAAATGGTTACTTACCATAATACTATATAAACAGATCGTAGAACTATAATGGAAACTAGCGTTCCATACATGATCTGGAAATAAAAACAGAAATGAAATTCAGCAGTTGGATTCAAGAGACTTTATAAAACACCACAGGAGTAAAAAATTTTTGAACCCTCTGTGGATTTTTAGTTCTTAGTCTCAGGAAAATAGTATCCCCATAACTTCCTCTCCAGAAAGTCCTCCAGAAAACTTTCCAATAAAAGTATGATTATAAACCATGCCCTTTATGCAATTATGGGAAAAGTCAGTTGTGTAAAAGCGCTGTTTCACTTTTCTGAATTAGGAAGCAAACACTAGATGGCACTCAGTAAGCAGCCTGAAATCAAAATGGGAACTAACCCCCATCATCTCTTTTGTATCTGTGAATTTTAGCTCAGGACTGTGTAAGCATCAGCTAAAACTGGTTTTGAAAGCTATAGTTCCTTCACTGATACTTGATTAATATTTTTTTCTCTGAAAGCAAACACCTGAATAGACGATGCACTATGCCCCCACTAAGCACCAGTATGAGAGAAACCTTCCAGGAAGCATTTAAAACCAACTATTACAGATTGTTGGGATTCAATCTAATTATACAGCGGGAAGGCTGCATGTTCTGAAAAGATCCACGAGCAAAATCTGGCTCACTGTAGGCTTGATGAATTTGAATGTAATTGCCTGACATATAAAAAGTCAAAGTAATCATTTATTTTCTGCCTCGTGATCTTTAAGTCACTCTCATGGGTTTTTTTTTTAATTCACAAGCTGAGGATCCACACACCACCATCTCCAGGACGTACTGACTAAAGAAGAGAAGAAATGTGGTCAGTCATGCCTGAAAAGCGATGCAGAAGCCACTGCAGCAGGGAGGATTTTCAGACACTGGTGACATTAAATTACTCCCCATGCTTTTTATTCTGAACACTGTTTTCCTCCTGCCAAAAGGCAGTTTGTTCCAAGCAGTTGTGCCTTGCTCTTTGCCCCTCTCCAGGGCCCCCCAAGCCCCTCGCTCTTTTTTGCTTCCTTGTTCACCGACTCACATTTTGCTTTCAGTTAACTCCTCTCTAATGCCGCCTTGTTTTACGTGAAACAGAAAGATGATAAACCGTTGCTGCCTATTTTTAAAAACTGCTAAACCTCACAGAGGTGTGTGTACAAACCAGTGTCCTTACCATGTTCTACTGACCTCCTCATACCCTTCCTTCTTTTAGACTACACTGTCTTTGAGGCAAGGACTACCTCGTACTCTGCCGTAACCGGGGCATTCAGCTATTACTACCCTGCAAGCGTACGCATGTGTCCTGTCATCTGACATAAAACAGATTCCTGTAATAAGGCAAAGTGAAACCTACCTTTTCAGAAGTCCATAAAGGCAAATTTTCAATCTCCTTTTAGCTTTAAGGATGAGGTTAGTAGCACACACCACGTTATCAGTGCATATATACAGAACAAAGCAGACAACAGAGCCCTTACAGAAACACAGAACAGTTTGGGTTGGAAGGGACCTTTAGAGGTCATCCAGTCCAACCCCCCTGCAGGGAGCAGGGACACCTTTAACCAGATCAGGTTGCTCAGAGCCCTGTCCAACCTGGCCTTGAAAGTTCCCAGCGATGGGGCATCTACCACCTCTCTGCACAACCTGTGCCAGTGCCTCACCGCTCTCACTGTAAAAAAATTCTTCCTTATATCTAGTCTGAATCTCCCCTCTTTTAGTTTAAAACCACTGTCCCTGGTCCTATTGCAACAGGCTCTACTAAAAAGTGTGTCCCCATCTTTCTTACAAGCGCCCTTTAAGCCCTGCAAGCTTTCTTACAAGTGCCCTTTAAGGCCCGCAGCCTTCCCTTCTCCAGGCTGAACAACCCTCTCTCAGCCTTTCCCCACCGCAGAGGGGTTCCAACCCCCGGATCATTTCCCTGGCCTCCTCTGGCCCTGCTTCAACAGGTCCATGTCTGCCCTGAGCTGGGGACCCCCGGGCTCGATGCAGGGTTCCAGGGGTAGAGGTGTCTCACCAGAGCAGAGCAGAGGGGCAGAATCCCCTCCCTCTCCCCGCTGGCCACGCTGCTGGGGATGCAGCCCAGGGCATGGTTGGCTTTCTGGGCTGCCAGCGCCCATGGCCAGCTTTTCATCTACAAAAGTCCCTCTCCATAGGGCTGCTCTCAATCCCTTCATCCCCCAGCCTGTGTGGATACCAGGGGTTGCCCCAACCCCAGTGCAAGACCTTGCACTTGGCCTTGTTCAACCTCATGAGGTTCACACAGACAAGCTTGAGACGTGGGCCCTAGTCCCTCTGGACAGCATCCCATCCCTAAGGCATGCCAACCGCACCACTCAGCTTGGTGTCTTCCGCAAACTTGCTGAGGGTGCACTTGATCTCGCTGTCTATGTCATTGATGAAGATATTAGACAGCACTGGTCCCCGTACGGACCCCTGAGGGACACCACTTGTCACCGGTCTCCATCTGGACATCAAGCCGTTGACCACTACCCTCTGGATGTGACCATCCAACCAATTCCTCACGCACCAAACAGTCCACCCATCAAATCCATCACTCTCCAATTTAGAGAGAAGGAAGTTGTGAGGGACCATGTCAAAGGCCTTATAGAAGTCCAGATAGATGACATCCATAGCCCTCATTTGTCCACTGATATAGTCACTCCATCATAGAAGGCCATTAGGTTGGTCAGGAAGGACTTGACCTTGGTGAAGCCATGCTGGCTGTCTCAAATCACCTCCCTGGCCTCCACGTGCCCTAGCATAGCTTCTAGGAGAACCTGTTCCATTTTTCCAGTCACTGGGGTCCTCACCTGACTGCCATGACTCTTCAAATACCATGGAGAGTGGCTTGGCAGCTACATTGGCCAATTCCCTCAGGACTCTGGGATGCATCTCATCAGGGCCCATGGACTTATATGCATTCAGGTTCTGCAGGAGGTCACAAACCCGATCTTCTCTTACAGCAGGAGGGGTTTATCGCTCCCGCTGCCTCGCATTCCTTGATGTAGAGGCCAACTCCTCTCCACCTCTCCTTCCTCGCTTGTCCCTTCTCAACAGCCTGCAGCCACCGATAGCCGCACTCCAGTCATGGGATTCAGCCCCCCAAGTTTCAGTAATGGCAACCAGGTCGTAGCTTTCTAGCAGCATGGTGGCTTTCAGCTCCTCCTGTTTGTTGCCCATGCTGCGTGCATTGGTGTAGAGGCACTTTAGCTGGGCTGTTGGCCATGTCACCTTCTTGGAGGAACCCCCCTGAATTCCTTGGAGGTGTTTCCCTGGTGTTTCCCAGTTGGCTCCCATTACCCCAGGAGCCTCTGACTCATCTCCGCAAGACTTCAAGTGTGCTGCAGCGTAGCCAGCACATCTCAAAGCAGCAGGCTGAGGGCCCTCACTAGCACCCCGTCCCCCTAACCTTGGTATGTAACCCCACAGCTTGTCACGGGCAAGCCTGGTATTATCCTGCTCCCCCTTCGAGTCTAGTTTAAAGTTTATGTTTGACAACAGGTAAAAGTAAGCTCCAGTATTGACTATGCAAAGTCATTCAGCACAGCAGCTCTTTATTTGCATTCAGAGTGAGATCAAATAACTTCAGGAACTGAACTACTACTACTACTGTGTGTTCTGCTCTGTAGAGCTGAACAAAGCAAAACTATTTGAAAGGCTAATTGGTTCCGGCTTGTACTTTATACAAAACTGTTAGCTAATTCCAGCCCCCTTGCTGGGGTACGGCACATAAATTGGGAAAGAAAACCCTCAACAAAACCCACTAGACACAGCCTGAGTATCAAGTGCTTACCAGTCTCAAGCTAAAGGTAGGAAGGGGACTGCTCAGGTGTGCTAGGTCCTGCATACAATTCTTCATCACTGACATTTTGCCTACTAAGACCCCACCATACAACAAATACAGGCTAAGATTAAAAGTTAAATGCCATTTTACTTCATCAGTCTCATTTAAAACAGCCTCTTTCATTTTCTTAATCAAATCCAGTAATTTATTCTGAGAGGGACGGCACAGAGGAAGAAACTCATAAGAAAGGCTCCTCTGGAATCCAAATCACAGTCTGATGCCCCTTCCTTGCTGATCTCCTCCTTCCTACAATTTCCATTGCTAAAATGCTCTTCTGCAGCAGAGACACAGGAAAAACCTATCCATCAGGAGAAACGTCCATCGTACTCCTTAGGGGTGTGACCACCTTCATGCTTTTATCCAATTTGCTCTTGGGTTCTTTGTGCAAGGAGCTAAAGTGTCAGACTATGCCTAGAGAAACATGGCTTATAGGCAGCCCAAAGCCCAGGTAAAACATAGGCTAAAAATTCTAATTTTTTTTGCAGCAGCTCCTAAAAGCAGGGAAGAGCAAAAGCTAAGAAAAGCTTTCTTTGTAGAGCCTCTGGCCTCGTATCTCCTAGTGAGTTGTTTAATGGCTTGCAGAAGAGGGCCATCTTAATAGAGGGAGGAAGGAAAAAAAAAATAAAAAGAACCTTGCAGTGACTGAAGAAAAATACGCCCACAGTTGACACTTCAATTTCTTGCCTTTTCCGCTCCTCCACACAAACAGGTTGTTAGCAGTAAAACACATTCGTGTTTAAAAGCCTGTGAAAGACTGGAACAACAAACTGTTCTGCTCTGCAGGCTCCAATCCTCCTCTTCACACTGAAGGCAAGCATCGGGAGGTGTTGCTGTGATATGCAGAGACTGTAGCTGCACGTCTCGCTACAGCTGTTTCTTACTAGCAGCCTATAAACCCAGCTACACAACTTAAGTTTATACCTCAGGGAGTGGCGCTTGCTTTTACTCCTTTACCACCCATGGATTTACTATCTTCATCACGCCAAAAATTTCTTAGGTCTTACCCGTCTGCCCAAAGAAGGACAAATTATAAAATAAATGAATAAAAACCCTAACTTATTCAAGTTGACTCAAATTTATCAATTCCATTTAAGCATCACTTAAATGACAGATGAAAACCTGTGCTATTTTGTCTCCCAGTGCCTTTAAATTGTAACCCAAAGAACCCTCTTGCACTACAACTGAAACAAAAGGGAATAGCAGAATCTCAT